GAGTTCAGACTTCTGCAGACTGTTGGGTTTTTAAATGACATGACACTTGGATCTGGGGCCTTGTTGTTGTTATGCTGTTATTGGTTATGTATTTTATGTGCCATTGCACGTTAGTTTGGAATACCCAGGGTTTGGTTTTCCCTGTGATCATTCAGCAGTCTGGACAGAAAATGTGGTGAGATGTGTTAGCTGGTACATACATGAGCTTCTGTCATGAGTCTCTCCTGCTCCAGTAAACTGGTTGAAACAAGAAGGAGCTCGTCCATCATCCTCTGCTTGTCTTGGATCTGGTCTCTGAGGCGGCTGAGCTGCTTGTGGTGGTTCTCCAGCTGCTCCTCCAGAGTTTTGTGGAGATGTATAAACAGATTAGAGACAATACAAAGTGTGTTGTTGTCCTCACCTTGATGTCCTTGTCTCCATCATGTCGCTCTCTCTCCTGGGAGGGACGTGGGGTCAGAGTGAGTTCATGCAAAAATGATCATCCTTATGAAATCCATGTTTAAATGAAAATAAGAAAATGACATTCAGTAATAATAATTGAGAAAATGAAAGTATTTTAAGCAGGTTGTCTCCAAACTGTGCTTCTAATGTTGTGTCTTGTCTTTGACTTTAGTCTATTCTTGTCATCCAGCTGTTTGTACAGGTTGCTGATGTCCTCCTTGTATTTGCTTCGCTCGTTGCAACAATTTATTTGACTTTTCTTTCACAAAGTAAGAAGTATTTCAGTTGAAAAAAACAGTTAATTTAAAATGAGTAATGTATCATAATGGTCATTTACTTTTCACGTATGTTCAATCCTAGCGTAAATTAGATGCACACGCTTGAGTGCTCCTAAAGTAAAAGTCTTTAAAGTAAAAAAAATAAATTCAAATAAATCAACAAATTGACCATTTCAATTAAATCAATAAAAAGGTTTGTGGTATTTTCATTAAGAAACCAAATGACAATAAATGAATTAAATTGATTAAAAAGTAAGTTTGAAAAGTAAAATTAAAGCGACTAAAAAAGGTTTAATGCATTAACATAAATAATTTATCAAACAATGATGTAAGACTCTAATTAAAAGTTATAGGTTGAAATAAATGTAATTATATCGTTTATAAATCACTTTATATGAGAGGGCGCCTCTGGTGGTTAGTTGTTGGTTACTGCACTTAAATAATAAATGAATTAGACTGCTGTTTCTTTGAGTAAATTAACACAGAAGGCTGGATGAAGAACTTGTTGTCTTAGTTTACCTGTTGTTTTATTTACCTTTTAGCTGTTGTTTATTTACCTTTTAGCTGTTGTTTATTTACCTTTTAGCTGTTGTTTAGTTTTATTCCCTTTTAGCTGTTGTTTTATTTCCTTTTAGCTGTTGCTTTATTTCCCTTTTAGCTGTTGTTTAGTTTTGTTTACCTTTTAGCTGCTGTCTTGTAGCTTTTCTGTTGCAGTTTTCCTTTCAGTCGTCTTTGTCTTCTTAGTTTGTTGTTTTTATCTTTCAGTCTGTAGTTTTGTTTAGTTACAGACATCAACCCCCCTGCTGCTTCTTTTGGTGTCTTGTGTTTATGATGGCACATATATCATCACATATAGACTGAACAGAGATCAGAGCACAGATACAGGCAACAGTATCATCATCATCTACACTCTGTTAACATTTAAATAAAGTGTTTAGCATTTTAAAAACCTCTGTTTCATTCAATGTTCGAAAAAAAAACTCAACACAAAATGACCACATTGGTCAAGTTTAAATCATCCATCACATGAAACGGCCATGCATGTAAAACCGTTCATCTCAGCTCCCTTTACTCCTGACAGACGCTGCTCTACTTCGATGTTTTCAAGCACAAATAGAATCTGTACTTACTGCAGTTTTTCTGTAGCGACTAAAAACTACTTAAAGGCAGGGTTGGTGATTTTCTCCAGATCCACTTTTTAAGATTGTGGTTGAAATTGTCTTTTGGTCCTGACAATGCAAGCAATGAGCTGAGGTCCACTTCTGGGTGGTGCAGACGCAGCACTGAGGGAATGCTACTTTTAGAAAATGATCAACCCTGCCTTTAACCCAGACAAGACTCTCTCTTACCTGCTGTTTGTAAAGTGTCTTGAGATAACATTTGTATTGAGTTGGCGCTCTATAAAAAAAGATTGATTGAACTGACTTATTGTTTTACAAGCCTGTCATTGAAAGTTTCCCATTTATTCAAACACTAGAATACAGAAAGAAAGAAAAAAACATCATATTCCTCTGTTGAAAAGAACCCACATACATTCATTAATCGTAAAAAACAACAACAACTAAGGAGTCTTTAATGAGCTACGCATGGTGCAATGGCACCCCCTGTTGGCCTGTCAGAGACTGCTACAGGAAGTGACTGATCAAGCCCTGCCTATAAAGGAAGCAGGAAGTGGAGGGTTCCTTCTTTAATCTTCAAGCTGCACAGAGCAGGCAGCAACAGAAATGTAAGCTCCTTCACTTTACTGAAGTTAACAACTAAGCTTTCTTTTGTCTTGTATTAGTTTATTGTTTGAATTTAGAACTTTGGTAATGACTAAACTAAATGTTCTTGTGTGTTGTAGTTTTCACTCCTTATTCAATGTGGTGAATAAATGAAAAGAGTAACTAACATCTGACTCACTCCATACGTGCACCATACATGTGGAGGACTGCACACACACACCTGTGGAGGATGTAGAGGACCATCTCTTTGCTTCCTGCACTGGCAGCGTGATGACGTCAACTGCAGCCGGACGAGTCGAGTGAGGTGAGGTGGGCTCCCTTCAGGTGGGGCTCCCTTCAGGTGGGGCTCCTTCAGGTGGGGCTCCCTTCAGGTGGGGCTCCCTTCAGTGATGATTCAAATTGAAGACACATGTGAGTATGTAGGAATGAGGTGCAAAGGTCTAGTGAGAGATGAAACTGTCACTCACCTTCTTTGTTCTTCACACACTCAACCAGCAGCTCTACACACAGGAGAGAGAGAGAGAAAAACAGATAATTAAAGTTATTATCAGTGCTCTGTATGACGAGGTTGAAGGTCTTGGTCCTCAAAAGGATTTGATTGACTTCTCCTTTTGGGCGACAGATTTATCGCAACAATAAACATGTAAACTACTATAACTAATTAAAACACAGCTGGCAGATAACCAACGACATTAAGGACTAATGCAGTGCAGCTGAACCTGATCACAGATGTTCTCTCCTCTCCCCCCAGGTACTGAAGTCAATGTGATGCAGAATGGACACAGCAGTAGTTACTTTCCTAAAAAACAGGCCCAATGTGACATTATAAAAACTGAATGTTAACTTTCATAAATCAGTCCTTTTTTATTCACTTGTCTCCAAAAACAAACATTTTGAAGTTTAAACTAATTGTGATGTGTTTTTTTTTAACACTTTTAGGGGCAGCCTGACCAAAACAAGATGAAGAGCTGTTAGCATGTCTGCTACACCATGCTGCCTCACTTCAACATTTGGTGAGTATTTTTCTTGGCTCTTTTTATTTTAACCGTTTGAGTCACATATAGTCATATTCTTTATTATCATATTCAAAATTGCATGATGCTACAAACTTTTAAATTTTAATCTAACACTCTCTTTGATGTATGTAGAGATTATTTTGACTTAATTAAATGATTAAATATTAATGTATCAGAATGGCCCATTTTACTTTTCATGTTTTGTACAATCCTAGCTGTAAATTACTCATAGATGCAACCTGACATGAACTTTAAACCCTGATGTCTTTGTTTCTTGTGTGATATTCCAGGTGTTTCCTGCTCTGAACTCTGAAGAGAAGGATCTGTGCTGCAGCTGGAAGGAGTTTCTTTAGATTAAAGTTTACTTGTTAGCTGTTTTAGTTTTTTGAGCTATCGATTTAGTTTAAAGTCTGTTTTCTTTAATTTTATTGCAGTTTTCTCTCAACACAATTTGATAATAAAATTTTAAAGTCTTAATTTGTGTCTTGTTTGTGTTGTAGTTGTTTCTTCTTTGTCACACAGCTGTTACATTTATTTTTATAACAAATTTCCATTAGGAAAATGCTTATTGGTGGTAGATAATTAGAAAGTTTCCTCAGGAACAATGAAAGCTGTAAACTACTATAAACCACAGCTGGCAGATAACAGCCTAATCAACAATGTAACACAAGCACAGAAAGGACAGCAGTTTTATTACAATAAAATCTAACAGACATGACTTCTGTTTTTTGTACATGTTACATCAGCACAATACAATAAGGCGTCACAGGCGTCCACATTGGGTAGGAGCTCAAAGCTTTCTTAGTGTTGTTTTATGTTCCAGGTTTAGGTCGTATAAATGTTTAGACTCAGTTATTTAATCATTTGATCCTTTTTGGAGGAACATCAGGTGTTTAATGAAATAAGGATTATAAAATGTAGTATTTCATTAAACACCTGATGTTCCTCCACTCCAAAAAGGATGAAATGATTAAAATAACTGAGTCTAAACATCTATAAGACCTAAAACCTGGAACATAATAAAACAACATTAAGAAAGCTTTGAGTCTCCTACCTGAGCAGGAAGACGGTCACCGACGGGGGATCCTCCTGGAAGACGTAAACAGAGTTCCTGTTGGAGAAGAAAAACTAATTTAGTTCAAGTAAATAAACTCAAAATGTTTGTGATTATACAACATTGTGATGACTGGAATAAACCTGAGTTTCATCATTCACGGTAAATGATCTGTGTTTAACTTCACTTTAAGGCTTTTCTATGAGACCGAAGCAAACTTAAATTTAAAGTTTAAATGTAGAATATAATATAGAAACATTAAGTATAAGGTCTTAAGAAACATCTTGACCATACATTAACTGTCACAAGAACTAAAATTAAAGGTTTAAAATAAATGAATCAGACTGTTGTTTCTTTGAGTTTGAATCAAACACAGAAAGCTGGATTAAGAGCTTTAACTCTTAAATTAAATAAAGAAGTTTATTCATATTACTTTATCAAGATGAACATTTAATCTCTGAGCTCTGTGAACAGTAATGTTCAGAAAATCATTTTACCTCGGATTAATAATTTACATATTAGTCAATAAAGTTAAATTGAGGTTATTGTTTTATTTAAACTCTTCAATCTGATATTAGTTTAAATTATAAGTTTTGTTTTTAAAGTTTACTTTTACCCGGTGTTTAAACAATTAGTTTAAGAGGAGAAAACAAGTTCAAAAGTGACCTTCATAATGTTGATAAATGTTATCATCATCTTACTTTGACCATGTTTCCTCTTAACAAACATTTAGCATGAGCATTAGCCCACGTGTTAGCATTAGCATACAGCCCCACGTGTTTCTATTTTGTGGCTTTTCACACAAAACTGAACTTTTAAAGACTCACTGAGTATCTAGACTTCATCTCTCCTTCCCCGGCTCCTTCTTCTTCCACCGCTTTGATCCACAGCCAGGCTGCCCGCGGTCCGCACCGCTTACCTGCTCGAAACAATGATATACACACCTGAGAACACCTGAACACACCTGGGCGTGATTACCGGAAGCTTCAACCGGAAGTGTCGCAGAAAGTTTCTATGGAAGAAATGAAAAAGTTATAAATAAGAGGACACAAAAACAAGACTAAGTCAAAAATCAAATGTTTTATTGATAAAAAATATTTCTTAATGTAATTTACTTGTTTTTATGTTTTTTTTAAACTTTGAACTCTTGGTAACCAAGCAACATGAGAAAGTCAAACTCGGGTCACCATGGTAACTACCGGTAACTGCATTCGTTAGCAGGACGAAGCTAACCTGTTTTCCGGTCTTTAGGACACTGACTGAATTCTTACCCACAGATAAATTCAGTGTTCATGATGTTTACCTCCAGTTTCTCTCTTCCTCTCCCTGTCGTTCTCCAAAGTGTCCAAGAAGCAGATAAATTAGTTAGTTTGAGATACTAATGTGTAAAGATGGAGTTTAAAGGTGAAACTGCGCCCTCCTGTGGTCACTCTGTGAATTACTGCATTTGGAAGTTTTGTTTTTTTCACCTTTCTTGTTCTAGATACAAATTCAAACTGCTTTCTTTGTTTTATTTCTTTATAAATAAATGTGACTTGACTTAATCACAGATAACATATTTTCTTAATTATAAAAAGCAACTGTTTACTGCTTATGTTAATTAAAATCCATTGTCTGTTAATCACACGTGCATGTTAGTCTCTCAAAGAATCTGAAGTGTAACTTCACTGATTGCATATTCTTGTGTACGTTGGAGCGTTTCACTCCTGAGGAAGAAAGCAGATTGTGTTCCCATGACATATTAGGCAATATATTTTTCTTATTTTCTTATTAGTGGTAGATAATTAAAGACTACAATAAACAAGTTTCCTCAAAATGAAAGAAAACAGACAATGAAAGCTGTAAACTACTATAACTGAATAAAACACAGCTGTCAGATAAGGGTTTTTGTTTTGAATCCACGTCTTTTTAAGCCTTTTCTGCCTCGTAATTATCGTGCAAAAATCTAAATTCTTTGACTTCCAAGTAGAGTGAATGTAATCACTGAAATGTGTCTAGAAGGTGACTGGTTACTGCACTGACCTGTATCTAACTTAAAAGTAGTGAGTGTTTTTACCACACCTCTAAGAGCAGATAAAATGATCATCAGAGTTCAACCACTGACGAAACAAAGACACTGAAAGAGAGTACAGAAAGAAGACTTGGATGAAATGAAGAAACTTCTCAGTTGACAGTTTTGGTCTCACTCCAAGTCTTCACTCAGAAAGAAGAAAAGAATTGATTTGCTTTCTTCAGAAGAAAAAAAAAGAAAAGAGAGTGTTGCTTACAATCAGAGGACAGGTTATTTTGTCTTAGTCTGTCTTAGACAGACCCCTTTAAAAGACAGACTAAAGGGGTTTCACACTTACAGAAAACTCCTGAAAAACTCCTGACATCTCAGAAAAGTGTCTTGACACTGAAGAAAGACGGCAGCACTCACCCGTCATTCCAAAGGGAAAGCAGGTGTCTTTTAATCACATCCAGGATTCCTTCGATCCACAACCAGAAGGAATACGCTTTCTCGTTCGCACTCTGCTCACAGACAAATACATTTAGTTCAAAGAGAAGATGTAGTTTTAACTTTATGATGCACCAAAAAGACTCCATTAGTATCTGCTAACCTGTACATGTTTCTCTTTTTGCAGCTTTTGGTTAAATTACAGATTTGAATACAGATTTTATTCATTTTTAACTTGTGGTATTAAAAAGTATCACAGATGTTTACGATCTTAAATCTCAGGCTGAATGGGGCTCACCTTGCACAACTTGGTCCAGGGGATTTGTCCCTCTGGGTTCCTCTTGGCTTTGGCTCCTGAAGATAAAAATAAATAAAAGTTAAAGGCCTGTTTGAAAGTCCTGCAGGTGTTTATCTGTTAAAGAAAAGTATTTCTACCGAGCAGTTTGTCAGCCAGCATGTTGAGCTGCTCCTGGTTCAGGCCTCGCTTGGTGACGGAGGAGAACTGCCAGCTGAGGACCTCGGACAGCTGAGACCACTTGGCCTGCGGAGGGCTGAGGAAGAACTTCAGATTCTGAGGGAGAGGAGAGGAAAGAAGAAGAGATGGAAACACAAAAAGTCAAACCATCTGGTTTAAAACTACAGTTAAAGATACTCTGTTACGAATAGAAGACCTTTATTCAAAACCTTACTTCATATAAAAAGCACAGGCATCAAAATATACTGAAAATGCAAACCGTAAAACAGCTATACACGCGTCAACATTTAGATTGTATTAATGGTCTGTTTATGAATTTAAGGTGGCAGCTGTGAAACTTGTTTAAATCATTAAGATATCACCTAATTGTATCTTTGATATTTGTGATAAGTAAACATCTGTAATCATCAATGAGAGTCCTGGTTGTGTACCCTGGGCTCGGAGGTCAGCATGTTGTACCAGAGGATGGAGGCCCAGCCGCTGGGCAGCTGACAGACGTTAGAGATGACAACAACAGGCAGGGACATGGCCTACAACAACAAAAACAGCAACAAACATCAGGAAATAATCATAAACAAACTCATAAACTCTATAGTTTGACTGTAGTTACTAATCATGTCCACTAGATGGCAGCCAAACTCTGCTGTTTCATTTAACATCCAATATTTCCCCACTTCCGTTCCACAGCTTAGTAGCACTGCGTGTTTTAAAGTATATATTTCATAATAATTAAATGCTTTGTTGTGCTTCAAATGATCTACATGATGTTGAAGGTTTTTAACTCTTTGTGGCTGTAATGTAACTTCTACACTTTACAACCACGGACTGTAAATATTACAATATAACTCACCTGGAGGTTAACAGCCTCGTCAGGTCTAATTAACCGCTGCATCATGCATTCATATTGCACTGCTGCCCTCTGCTGGCGATGGTTGTAATTACATCCAACAGTCACTATAACAGAAATGTATCCTCTTTTTAACCTTTTTTTCCACACATAAATGTGTGGAAAAATATAAATAGTGCAGTTACTTCTGTATAGCAAAATTCTGTATTTTCTTCTTGTTTGTTTGTACAGGTGTGTGCAGGTGTTTCCTCGCTCTGTGCTGCAGCTCAGAGGTAAAATGATTTTCTAAACATTACTGTTCACAGAGCTCAGAGATTAAATGTTCATCTTCCTCAAATTATATGAATAAACTTAATTTATTTTATTTAAAAGTAAAAGCTCTTCATCCAGCCTTCTGTGTTTAATTTACTCAAAGAAACAGCAGTCTGATTAATTTATTATTTAAGTGCAGTAACCAACAACTAACCACCAGAGGGCGCCCTCTCCATATAAAGTGATTTATAAACGATAAAATATTTATTTTAATTTTATAACTAACCACCAGA